ACCTAGGGGACGCTCTGGGTACTTTACTGCCCCGGTCCGGGTAAAACTACGAGAAAACTTTCCCTGTTGCAAACTCCTACCGTGATTTGTGTTACCTCTATACGCCCCCCTTGGGTACATGTCATAGCAATCAACAGCCGCCGACTTGTGAAATTAGTCCAACCTTTTGTCTCGGCCTAACAAAAATTTAAAATCTAATAATCTCACCACACACGTCTTTACCGGGGGCCGACCGCTGTAAAAACACTCACAGACGCCTACCCACCGCCACGTAAAAAAATTTATTGGCCACCCGGGATCCTCCAGATTAAAACGCTTCACACACGTTGTAGAGTCCACCTTTACTCTCTCTCTCTCCTCTCTCTCCCCCTTCTCTCTTCCTTTTCTCTTTCTCTCTCTCCTCTCTCTCTACTTCTTTCAATGTGTGCGCACCGCCCCAAATGTTACGTTAAATATGAATTCCCTTCCCATATATTGCACCAACATGAAGTGGGAAAACATGGAAGATGGAAAACCCAGGTACTTTTCCCTTGCAAAAACCCGTTTTTTTAAAAGTATTTGATAATATCTGCTGTCACTATGAAAACGACTTCTGTGGTGACTTTTTTCAAAAATAGGTGTGCGTCTTTTGGGGAAACAATTAAAAAAATTATTGAAAAAAAATAAAAATAAAGACCGGAGGGTTTAGGAAGGGTTTTGCGAAGCCATTGTGCGTGGAGTCACCTTTTATTTTATGTTCCGGGACACGCAACCGTCGATAGAAATGAAAGAGCTGACGTGTTGGCTGTATCCGCGCTCACTACCGACCGGTCAATCTATGGATCATAGCTGATATTATCAATGACCACTCAGAGAAATGGGAATGATAGAGGGACTTTGGTGTCAGTGAATCCACACCACTCGCCAGAATGGCATACTTGGGAATTACAGATCGGCATAGCAAAAAACGGGAGAACGCACACCATACACGCCAGAAGAACTCGTTTATCAACATAGAACGTTACTATTAGCCATCGCCGTTGGGGTTCATACTGAGGGGAGGATCTGAGCCCCTATGGCCATGTCGCGGAGTGCAATGCAGGATAACCCAACTAACTAACTAACTGGAGCTATCTAACTAATAACTACTAACTAACTAACTACCTAACTAAACCTAACTAACTAACTAACTAAACTAACTAACTAACTACTAACTAACTAACTACTAACTAACTTAACTAACATAACTAACTAACTAACTAAAAAGTAAAACTAAACATCCGTTTTCATGCCTGTAGGCTTATCGGGCATATGGAAATGGTACCAATATTTTTTTTTATATACCAATCGGCACTAGGTGGGTAATGTGGTCAGCATTACGCCGGCTGTCTTTACTTCTCCAGGACTTAGAAGATTATGGTACCCATTTTAGGCTGCGATCATGATGAAAAACCGCGCAGCAGGGTTGGGTTTCGATCGCGGTGCGTTTGAATTACGAGTCGGACTCGTAACGCCTTAGCAACCGACGCCGCCCTTGAATTGCATTCGAATTATTTATTCTAACTGCACGTATGACCCTGCTGGGACTCCAGAATATCCAGCAAACACACACAAACCCAACTGTAACATCTAATGTCGCTTGAAGAGGCTATCATTAGGTACCTAAACTGTACTGTAATCGACATTTTCATGAATTTTTGCCTTAAAAACCTTCTCCACACCTTTAAGGCGTATTGGATATATAGGGCTAGACCTATATTTTATAGACCAACAGCACTTGGTGGATAATGGGGTCAGCATCACGCCGGCCACCTTTACTTCCCAGCACTGTACCTGGTACCCGCTAAAGGCTGCATTGACTTGGGAGCCAAGGTCAAATTTTTCAAAGTACGACACCCTCAGGAACCGAACTCACGACCTTCCGATCTGAGGCAAGTGTCTAGTTGTAAATTATATACGTATTATCACAGTATTTCCACTACCAACATCGTATTAGCTGAAGGCTTATTACAGGTTTTTGAAAATACAGTAATATGACGACGCTTTGGACCTGCCAAGGATGTAAACAGCGGGGAATGGAGAGTGAGAAGCAACCACGAAATTAAGGATCTGTTTAGATCACAGTTGATCATTGGCATCATGAAAGCTAATAGGTTGAAATGGCTGAGGCATATTGAGAGAATGTCAGGTGACAGAGGGGTGAAAACTGTATACACAAGGGAGATGAATAGTCATAGACCACGAGGCTGACCAAGAAGAAGATGGAGAGATAATTTCCAGAGAGATCTGCAACCAACTGTTACCAACTGGTAAAATAAGGCCAGCCAGAGAGATGAGTTTAGACGGGTGATATCTGCAGCAATGAACCTCAAAGGCTTGGAATGCTAAATAAAAGAAGAAGAAGAAACAGTAGATCATGTTTAAGAACAACTGTTGGTAGCTACCACTCCTTGCCTTTTTATGTGAAAGGTGTGGCGGTGAATTTATACGAAGAGCTATTGTACTTGACTGTGTGATAATTCTACAATATACAATGGAAACTTTGCCTATTGGTATTACTTGGGACTTGCCTAAATCATGTATTGGTGTAATAAACGCCCACGACCATGTCGTCAAGAGATGTCGACAGAATCGTTGAGCCAAGGAGGCATTCGGCTAGGAATATTTCCAGGAATTTAGCACTTCTTTGGACTGTTTATTACATTTAGGAACCAACGGTCTACAGGTTAACCACATAGTACTGAACTCCGAGATACAAGGAGACATTTTAGTAACCTTTAATTCCAGTGCGATTGACAATTGCTCCTAAAACTTTAATTAGCGACATGTAAAATAAACGCGCTCGGTCACAGTGACTTGGCGGAGTTTACAACAATTGACAAATTAAGATGTAAAGAAGCACGATCGTCTACGTCAAACCGCAAGACTTTTTAACTACAAGCCCTTGTCACATAACCATGGTGACTGCAGAGAAGGAAAAACACACAAATCACTACTCTGTTTAGTTAAATTAATTATTTTGGATGTAAAACAAGAGACATTCGGGAAGAGGGGAAAAGGGGGGGGGGGGGGGGGCTTTGTTAATTAAACACTGTTGCAATGACAATTCAAATGAAAGAGAACATATCCGTTAAACAAGAAAACGCGTTTGGGTCAAGAGACACGGAATCGTGCAAAAGAAGGGCACAGACGTGATGTGCTTAATGAGAAGAATGCTTCGTCTCCCAGGTTACAGGGTTCCATGTTTGACAGGAAAACCCACTCGATGTGTATTCGAGCCGATGACCTTTAAGCCAAAGTCCAGTATTTAGCCGCTACGCCACGGCATCTGTATTGTGTAAAAAAAACACACACACACACACACACACACACACACACACACACACACACACACAGCTATCGTACCCAAACTACAAACTACAACGCCATTTGCAAAATGTCTTTTTATTGGCGATGAAGAAAAAGATAAAAGATAAAAATAAAAAAAATAAAAATAAAAAAACATTAGAATGCCCCTCACACCACACCTTTAAAGTGTTATGCTACTGAACACTGAAAAATGTCTTCTAATGACAGACAATACGATCAATCAAATACGATACTTCACTCTCAACTAGAAAGTTTCTTTAAAAGTTTAAATTGAGAGGATTCATCATTGCTCCTGGTTATCCCACATAGTTCGGTTTCTCCCGGCAGAATGACTAGCAATCAGCTAGGAGTCTCGCAGAAAGCGATGGTTCCCAATTTTGCCTAAACACTGCATTCATGAACTGAACGCCCCCTCCCTTTAAACTCCCTCCCAATATAGGACGCAATTTTTTTATTAAATTTTAAAACCCCACCCACTCAGGGTGTCATCGAGGTCCCTAATATAACCGAACTGTAGAAAGGGGTTTCTCGGACTTGTGCCTTGAGGATAACCACAGAATGGTGGCACTTTGTGTCAGCAGGTGTTAATTTGTTGTTTCGTGGTCCAGGTAAGGTTTGAACGACACACATCGAACGGCGCGTTCGTAAAACGAACCCACACCCTCAGAGCGCCGGAAACGACTGGACCACTTCGCCACAGAAGAAGAAGAAGAAGAAGAAGAAGAAGAAGAAGAAGAAGAAGAAGAAGAAGAAGAAGAAGAAGAAGAAGAAGAAGAAGAAGAAGAAGAAGAAGAAAAGGAGGAGGACGGGAAAGAAGAAGAGAGAAGAAGAAGAACGCAAGAACGAAGTCCTAAATCTAACTTACTAATCTCAGAACGTGAGGTCAAAGGAGCATTATCTCACAAAGAAGCAACTCTCTCTTAATGATTTAACATCTGTCTTGCATAGCCGCAATCATAGCACTTATCTCAGAACATTAAGGGTTTCAGCAGCAGGTTGCCAACTGCTCACCCCCCCCCCCCTTTCCCCCCACCCTCACCTTCCCCCTTTTCTTCCTTAAACACATACTTTTGGGAAACTTATGGGATTATTGTTAAGCAGAATATGAAGAAGAAGAAAAGGAAGAAGAAGAAGGAGAAGAAGAAGAAGAAGAAGAAGAAGAAGAAGAAGAAGAAGAAGAAGAAGAAGAAGAAGAAGAAGAAGAAGAACAGGAAGAAGAAGAAGAAGAAGCAGAAGAAGAAAAAAAAGAAAATTGAGTTTTTGAGCAGTTGTAGTTTCTCAATTTTTAGGGGGGAGAGGGGGAGTAGAGAAGAAAGGGGAGTTGGAAAAGGGGGGGGGGGGGGGGGGGCTTGTGACTAATCATTGATAAGATGTATGATATCCTATAATATTATGGCTTATTTCAAGTTTTAAATGTTTTCACAGGTAAATTAAGCATAATGCAATCAAATCCGAACTTCGCACAAGAGTATATGTTAGCCGTAAGAGCTCCTCTATATATACAATTTACAATTATTTGATCCTGGCGTGTCTGCGTTGCAATCGGCATTTGAAGGGTTGAACCTGGCGGATAAACCCCTTGACAGCATCGTGGTTAGAGCGAAAATCTGCAGGTACAAGTTTCTCATTGGCTGGAGGGATAACATCGTACTTCTGAAGAATGTTTGTGAGAAACATGAAGACTCGAGACTTGGCAAATATTTCTCCAGGGCATGAACGAGTTCCCGCGCCAAAGGGAAGCACGCTGAAGGAAATAACACATATGTTGCAGTTAGATTATTCTGGTCAATGTAGCACTTTTACTCGTGGTAATATTTATGTTTGTGTTTCTACACGCCTTTTTGTAAAAGTAAAGTAAAGGTCGCTTTACAAACCAATGGCATATTGGGCATGTACGCTAGACTCACATTTTGAGAGACTTTGATAAGTGATGTGGTCAGCATCACTGCCGCCGTTACTTCCCAGGGCTTTACTAGGTATATATTTATGGTTAGATCTATCTGGGAAAAATAATTTAACACGATGCTTGTTGGAACTACAACCTTCCGATCTGCAAACGAGCGTCTAACCGCTACAGCACAAATGCTTACAGAAGGGTCTGTATGTATGTCTCTTTTCTGTATGTCTCTTTATACGTGTGCATTGCGTCTCTATTGTGTGCTAACTGAGCTACAACTAGCCAGCACACTACTAAGTGTCCAGTAGGTACAACTTTCGCTTCCTCTCTTAGAGACAGATCTCGACTACAATGACTCCGTCATACATTTTATTCAACAGGTTATACGACACAACTGAAGAGACATAGCTATTGTTCCCTACTGACATTCGCCCCTAGTCCATTTAGTCATCACTCACTCTCTCTCAACTCGTAGCGGCCGTTCCTTGACCTCTACAGCTCCAAAGGCTTACAGCGTCCACAACCCTGGGCACGCCGTACAGCTGGATAAGACGAACTCTCCTATCCACTGGACCTTAATATTATTTCAGCAGACAGCCACAGCTGACTGGAGACGGACTTCCCTTGCCGTACTCCAAAAGCACACAGCTTTCGTCAGCCTGTCGAAGTGCTCTGATGACCGACAGGACTTCTAACACAAGTCCCCTCTAGCACACAGCTCTCGTCGGCATCCCCTACTGTCCTGTTTCCGTAGTGACTCTACGTCTCCTCGCGTCGTCACCCAGAACAGTTACTACTGGAGCGGGACTATACCTTCGACCAGTACCGCAACCTCAACCCTTACTCAGGTATTTTCTGTGCTATTAAAGATAATATTATAAATATAGCTTATTTGATTACGACGATGGATAGTATTGTAAACCAATAGTCTAGCAGGAAACTAACACTATCAGCCCGGTGACCTAGAAAAAAAGAAGGGTGTGGTAGAGAGGTTAAACTGACTTGATTTCTTTGTTCTGTAATATGCTAAAGGTAATGCTGGGTGATCACTGTCTCTATTGCCAGAAACCTTTCCTTTTATGTAGTTAAAGAAGAACACAATTGGCATCCTATCCTTTAGGGGCGTTGCCAACCAACTCCAACATTTGTTAGTTGTTGGTGCTTTTACCAGACGATGTTAGCTCAGTAGTTTGCTATTACTGTTTACTGTACTATCGACTATTTACACGATTGTCAAATTCAACACAAAGCTGTCTGCTTTCAGATAATTTAAAACTGGATTGAACATGTTATTTCAGAATTATGAACCACGGACGTAGCTGTAATATTTTTTTTGATACTAGTGTTCAAAATGAAAATAACAAAAGTGTTTCAGTTTCCGGGACATGGTTATGTTTGTCACCCACATATTGTCTGATCTTATCTGGTGAATGCGTGTTTGTTTAATATGATATATATATATATATATATATATATTATTATATACACACACACATGCAGCTTAGTCTCTAAATTTATGTAACATGTATGAGTGTGAACGTTTGTGTGTGAAATATTACCATAGTTACTAAATAAAAAGCAAATGTTGTAATATATAAAGTCAAAATTCCCATGTACTCTGGTCCACATGAAAAGGATGGACGCTCGCATTCTACTCCTCATTTCCGTTCTAACATTTGTAAATTCAGTCGATGAAATTCAACCGGAATCTTCGCCATCTCTCATCAGTGTGTGTTTAGGGTTTATTTTGTGCGCCCTTGTTTCATCATTCCTGTTATGCCCAATTTAACTGCGCGTTTGGTGATTCTTTGATAACTTTTCCCAGGATATGTTTATTGCAGCTACTCTTTCATTGTCCTAAAACTGTTGTACCAGTGGCTGTCCAGAGAATTCTCTTGTTTCTCTACCATTCTTGAATTAATCCCTTTTAATGCTCATCAGATTCCTCTTGCATTTCTTAAACGAAAAAAAAAAAATGCGATAGTTAAAGAAAGTTAAATAAGAAACAAATATTCCTCTAAGAGCTTTCACATTTAACTTGTTTCGATGACTTTATTACATGTGCATAAACAAAATTTCAGCAAGTGTGGCAGATTTAAAAAAAAAATATTTATTTTGAAAGAACTATGCACTATGAGCTGGTTAAAAAAAAAAGGTTCCCGTAAAGCATTCAGGCAAGCATCCGATTGTTTAGGTAGGTGGTGATAAAAGCCACTAAATCATAACTCTTCCAGCGTTTTCTTTATTCCAGGCGGATTTGGGATTACCTTGGCCCTTTACTCATTGGTCAGAAACAGAACCTATGCATCATGGGACTATCAGTTTGTGCTCTTTTATGAACTAGTCGGTACTTATCGCATGGCTATGACATCATCATGTTTAACGCACACAATTCGGCACTGTGCGACCCGAAAGGGTTTTAACTGAACGTTCCATAAGCTTTTCTTAGTCATCCCCTCTTGGATGCAATTTTTCGTTTTTTTCTAAGCCCTACTCTGACTCATGCCAGGTGCCGTTGTATAGCCTGGCCATAGATATTGTCAAATGGCTGAACGCGGTTTCTGTGATCCTCATCAACAAGGTGGCACTTTGTGTCATCGGGTGTTTATCGCTTGTATGATGTCCTGGTGGGGTGAAAGAAGATAGATAGATAGACGTTCCATAGACAGTTGACTTACTTTTTTCTCACAGGATGATCTGCGGGTAAGAGCTGGCCTTGGTCGTTCAGGAAACGCTCTGGTTTAAATGCCCAAGGATCTTCCCAAATTTCTTCATTGTGATGAAAATACCAACTGTTTATTAGAAGCTGAAAAATATAACGCTACTTCCTGAGTTATTTGATTTTCATAGCAAATACTGTTTGTTCCTCATGATTCCTTATACATTTTGTATTACTAAATCTCCAAGTTTATTACTCTTCTAATATAAGAACAAGTATAATTGCATATTTATGTGCATTGAAAAGTCATAGTATCAGAAATAATAAATTACTGTAGCTTCTGTTTTCTTCTGGCCACTAAATAGAAACTTGTTGGGCAATAACTCTGTTGTTATTTACGATTATTACTTAAAGATAAACCAGGTTGGCCATAGCTATTTCTGGTCAATTGTGATTATTTTTTTGTTTTGTTTATAATGGATTGTACCACTTTTTTTTCCTACTAATCCTATCTGTTCTACAAATGGGGCGTTACTTAAGATAGAACAAGCAATCATTACTTTAAATGCGTAACCACAAACAATTCTTTACATTACATCTGTTCTGACTACCAAAAGTAATTGAAATCCGATGAGCAACAAAAACTGGAAAAAGAGAGGAACAGTTTATAATAGTGTGGGAGATGGAGGAGGGGGGGGGAAGGGTGCGTGAAGAGGGTCTTAATGAAAACAACATAGAAAGAAGTGAGATTTTCCCTAGAGCGATAAATAATATGGATGTGTGTCGACTGGATAACAGAAGTAGCTTTTTCCCTTATCTACATAAAGCTCTTACATATTATGTCAGGTAAGGCTAAAGCTAACGTCATCAACACCGGTGCCAGAATATGGAAGCTCAGGCCTCTGTAACTTCAGCATGGCATATATTAATTCTAGACGATAATCAAATAATAAGAATCACCTACCAAACGTCTCAGACGTATCCTAAATGTAATAAAAGGAGACCGGATCAGAAATTTAAGATCAGGATACTTGCTTTGACTGAACTAGTGTTAAAAATATATCAAGAAACAACAGATCAAATGATCTGAACACGTGTCAACATTATCACACCTTCGCCACGTATCTAGAGAGACACGTGGATCTCAAAGCTTCAGCTGGTCGGACAAACCTGTGGATATTGTTCTGCAGGGACCTCATTTAAATGATTTTCAAAAATTTTTATGTGTAACTGTAACATGTCATCACCGATGAAAGCTTTCTTGTAGAAACGCCCACTGATTTTTTGTGGATATCTTTGCATTATATCACCCGATAGTGCACAACTAAGAGCCCTGTACATTAGAAGCAGCATTATAAGTCGCCCATACAAGCAATGAAAAGATGAGATATCCAAAGTCATAAATATCAGCATCAATGTAGCACACATCTTGGCTCTAACATAACGGCGAGCATCCAAAGCTACAATCGCAAGAGGTGTGACCTTGGTAGCAAGAAATGAACGTCGCCTCATCGCATAACGTGGGACGCTAGTAGTCAAGGAAGAAGACTTACCATTGTGCCCTTGGGAATGGTCACATCATCAACTTGAATGTCCTGGCTAACAATTCTTAATCCACCGAGTGGAACTTGAGTGATTAGACGCAATGCCTCAAAAATTGTTGCCTCGGTATACGGCATGTTGGGTTTGTCTTCGAGTTTTGGCCTTCGGTCACCGATGACCTGGTCAATCTCTTGGTGAAGTTTCTTGGCCACCTCGGGGTAGTTGATGAGGCACAGAAACACGCCAAGAACTGAGGCTCTTGATGTGAGATGAGCTAAAACAAACAGAAGGTTATTATACTAACGTATGTAGGACACAGTGTACATTCCGTACACCAAAGTTTAATTATTTGCGGGTCAATTATGATCATGGAGGGGGGGAAATCAGGCATGAGTGAAGCAAAAAATAAATGAAAACTCAAGAACTGAACGTGTGAAATAAAGTAATTTTTTTTAAATTTACTCTAATTGTAGATAACGTTCCTTCTGTCTGATAAAAAAGTACATTATATTACATGCTCTAATTGTAGAAGACGTTTGTTCTGTCTGAAAACATTATCATCATCATCATCATCATGTAGTAGGTCCTTTGCAGAACGTCGCTCTCATCACAGTCTGCCTGTAGGAAAATCGGTTTCTTGCCAGTTCTCCCGTCTTATGAACCTTCACACTCAAGAAGTCACTTATATCCTGTGCCCATCTTCGTGTCGGTCGGCCCCTGCCCCTCCTTCCTGGTACCATGCCTTCTGCTATAATTATTTTCCAATCTGTCGTGGGGCTTGATATGACCAAAATATTTCAGCTTTCGAGAAAGGATGCTGTTTATTAACCAATCTTCCTTGATGTTCATATCTTTTAAGATGTCAATATTTCTCATCTTCTTGGTCCAAGATATTCTGAGAATCTTTCTATAGCATTTCAGCTCAAAAGCCCCTATTCTCTTTCTTAAGGACTGCGAGATAGTCCACGACTCACTTTCTCGAGAATTGTGGAATTTAATTCGTTTAGACTGAATTAAATTTGAAATACCCCAACAGGTTCCCAGTTTAGACTGAGTTAACATGGGAACTAAAGTAAAATAATGAAAGTCCATCAAAGGGGTAAAGATAAACACTTCACGGCAGGTTTTGCAAGCAAACTAATATGGTTTTCAAAAAAAAAAAAAAAAAACTGCCGGTAGTCCATCATTGTAAATATATGTGCGGTTTTAAAATTTACGCATTTGTGTTTGAACTGAAGAAAAGTAAAGCTTTTCTCTTACACCTTCGGGAGCCGCCGTGTTGTAGCGGATAGACTCTCACTTGCGGATCGAAAGGTAGCGGGTTCGTGTCCTGACAGTACCGAACTTTTTTCAACAAAAAAAACCTTGACTCCTTGGTCTTCCCAGCCTTGAATGGGTACTAGGTTGAGGCCTGGAAGGTAAAGGCAGCCGGCAGGTGCTGACCACATTACCCACCAAGTGTCGAATGGTCTAGCTCTAAATGCCCAATACTCCTGAAGGCGTAAAAAAGGGTTCCTTAACTTTACTTCTTCTGCCTTCAGACCCATCAGGTATAGGTATTATTAATGATATCTTTTTAATTAAGAATCTACTCAGTATTTCAAGAGATATATGCTCAGTATCGCACCGGTCGTCTTTATGTCAAAAAACATCTCTTAATATATATTTTAGTATGTGTCTTCTTCTATTAGTATACATGAAATAAGAAAGCTACTTTCATCATCAGGGGTATTCATGTGCGATCATGCCTCGCCACCGTCCCGCGATTCGCACTTACGTATATTAGTTCAAGTCCTGAGACCCCTCCAGGCGATGACAAAAAATTGTCAAGAATCTTCTCGCACTATTTTTCTCTGTCTTTCTTTCCACAGATTTTTCCAGTGGTCACAACGTATTCCAGTTTTTACTCTTCTCATAACATGACCCAAAAAAAAAAAAAAACCGATACTGTCTCTTTCTGATATTTGTGATAAGTATTTCTCCGAAGACTCAACAATTGTTTATTAATCATCCAGGATTCACAGTGTGTTAAAACTGGCTCTATAAATCCTGCCAAACTTATTTTCCTAACTTTTTGGGACATAGATTTATTGCTTAAAATATTGCATAATTATGTTTTACCTGCCCAAAAAAGCGTAGTTAGAAAAGCGATGGCGTGTTCAGGATCGTCCTTCATATATTCATAGCCAGGCTTATTTTGGAGGTCGAAAACGTAATCAGCAATTCCACGAGGTTTTCCAGGAATCCATGTTCTCTGCACATGAAAGGTTGTTGTTAAACCAGACCTCAGAAAACAGGTCAAAGAAAATCAGCGACTGCTATAGTGACTTTATTTTTTTCTGCTCTTCATTTTTTATTCTTTATTTTATAGACGATTTCGCAGCTACGTGAAATATACAGACACACAGACAGTCAGAAAGACAAACAACAGACAGACAGTCAGACAAACAGACAGACATACAGCAAACAGACAGACATACAGCAGACAGACATACAGCAGACATACATACAAACAACAGACAGACAGACAGACAGACAGACAGACAGACAGACAGACAGACAGACAGACAGACAGACAGACAGACAGACAGACAGACAGACAGACAGACAGACAGACAGACAGACAGACAGACAGACAGACAGACAGACAGACAGATAGATAGATAGATAGATAGATAGATAGATAGATAGATAGATAGATAGATAGATAGATAGATAGATAGATAGATAGATAGATAGATAGATAGATAGATAGATAGATAGATGTCAGACAAGATGTGTGAGAGAGAGAAAGATAGAGAGAAATGAAGAGAGAGAGAGAGAGAGATAGAGAGAGAGGGGGGAAGATATAGAAAATAGCTTATGAAAATTTGTGTGTGTTCCTCATGGTCTAGCATTTGTACCCAAAAAAAAAAAAAATGACTATTACACCGTTTTAGACAACAAAACGACACACTAAAAGTTACACAAACTACCTTAGGTGCAAAATACACCAGTTCTTCAGCCCCAGCCTTGGCAGTTAATAGTCTGTCTACCGCGTTCTTGAATTTCCCCGGGAATTTTGCCAAGAAAGGAAAAATCGACAGCACAGTGTCATATTCTGGTAGCCACAGTTTATTAAAGGCAATATCGTATTCTTCTAGAATATCCATTTTAGTGATGTCATCAGGCTGTTCGCCCACAGTCTAGAATAGGAGATCAAAACACCAAAATGTAAAATATTTGTTAGAAACAGTCAAATTTATATGAAATACATTGAGTTGATTTGGAATCGACATCACAGCACTCGAGACATTCTCATAAAACTCCCCTTCCCAGCTTCAACAGTCAGCGTAGAGTTCAAATGACGATGGTACCAGTGACAGTCTGCACACAGCATATGTTCGTCTTGCCTTTCTCTATGTGTGAAGTGTCGACCAGATCACCTTGTCACTGTTTGCTACACCTGATATATGACTTATCGAAAATAATCACAAAAACTAATCATTATAGCAGGCACTCACTTATGTAGATAAGTAGGGGGCTGCGTGGTCTCGGGGCATAGTGTCCGCCCCGAGTGCTGGAGGTTCCGGGTTCAGTCTCCGGTAAGGGCTAAGATTTTTTCACGAAGACCATCTAGACTTCTAGTAATTCCTCCTGGTCTCTGGGTAGTGACTTGTCGCACACATAAAAAATCCCTTGGCCATTGGAAATCAAAAAAGAGCAGCCTCAAAGTGTTGCGGGGGCAAAATTATAAGTTAAAAATCTACCTAAAGTATTTCAGGATCCTCGTCGGTGCTACAAAGCTTTTGCACTGTCCTGAGCTTCTTCAAACTCAGACTTTAGTTAGAAGAAGAACGAGCACTTATGGTTATGTTAGTCCGTTGTTCAAACTAGACTCCTTTTCAACAATAATGGGCACTCGATGGGGGATGTCGTGAACATCCCATAATTCTACGCTAGGTCAAACTTTATAGTGTTAAAAAAAAAATACACATAGATCGGCTTCAAATCCATGACTTTGGGGTCAATAGATTAGCGTACAGCTATGACGCTTCAGCGGCTCTCACTGTTGCACATAACATTAAAAAACGTTTTTGCTTCCCTTTGATGGAACTTCTCAAAATAAACACTTTTTAAAAAAAAAACTGGCTATTGTTTGGTTTTGTTAGTCAGTTTTATGTTTAATAATTTGACCTTGCTTCCTGAACGGTACGACCAAGACCGGCTCCAGCTGTCAGCTGGTATGACCAACCGTACGACTTGTCGTGTTGGTACGACCCTCGTTCTAAATTAAAAGCGATCTCAAAGCAGTCTGCGACGAATGATATTAAAAACATTCCTTACGTCCTTCTTAGGACGTTATTTTTTGTTATTTGAAGCCCCACTCTGGCTTTTGCCAGGGGCCGCAATATAGGCAGGTCATCATTATGGCCAAATGTCTGAACGCGGTTTCTGGGACCTCTCCACGGTGATCCTCATCCGCATGGTGGCACTTTGTGTCATTGGGTGTTTATCGCTTGTGTGATGTCCTGGTGGGGTAAAAAGCCAATCCAATCCAGTCTGCGACGAAATCACCTATTGCTGCATATTTTGTTAAGTCTTTTAAAGACTGTTGTTGCTTTGCCGATGCGTGCCATTATTTCCCTGGTTGTATCTCCTTGAGAATCAAAATTACTACCCAAATAGGTGAAATAGCCTGCTACTTTTATTGGTTTGTTCTCTAGCAGGACAAATACAAAATCTGTTGTTAGTGCCTTTAATTTATTTGTTTTCTAACACTTATTTGTAGTCCTTTTTTTTTAGAGCTGTAGACGATATATCGTCTGTTTTACTTTGCATGTCTTGTCATATCTGCTGCTTTGCACATTTTTGCTACTGACCATCTTGCTTTTTGCTTGGGAATGTATTGCCCTTTTTTTATTTCCGTAAATAAAATTATTCTGCTTCTCATTTATGGGAAATGCCGTCTTTGTTTTTTTTTTTTTTTACTCTAAACTTCATTAAGTCTCCTTGAAATGTTCTGCCCATCTTTTCCTCTGCCATTTTGAAGCTGGGACAAGTATTTCTACATCTATAGGGTTGGCATTATCCCTACTTGGAAACGTCATCTTACACACAGTTTGCGTCTGTCACAGTACAAAGTAAGTCTTGGTCTGTTATGGCAAATTGTTTTTTTTTCATTTGTTTATATCGCGATGGTTCCCCCCCCCCCCCCTGTCTGTTTCCATCTGTATATATCTCTGTCTACCTTCACTGTATCTCTCACTATCTTCCTCTTCTCTCTCTCTCTCTCTCTCTCTCTCTCTCTCTCTCTCTGTCCACCCCCGCCTCTGTCACTTTCTGACTCTCTAATTTCTACCTTTAGATTCTCATGTTTTATTTTAACAGCAGATTATCCCCGTTTCTCTGTGTCTCCTTCTGTCTCTTACCCTGTTTGCTTGTCTTTCTCTGTTTATCTGTGTGATTCTATTGACATACAAACAAAAACACACACACACTTATTGTCACTCTTTCTCTTTCTCTCCGTTCCATGCTCATGTTTGTAAAAATATGGTATTAGCTTTACTGTATCTTTGTGTGTCTCTGTTGACTTCTCTCTCTCTTTCTCTCTCTCTCTCTCTCTCTCTCTCTCTCTCTCTCTCTCTCTCTCTCTCTCTCTCTCTCTCTCTCTCTCTCTCTCTCTCTCTCTCTCTCTCTCTCTGCCTTCCATACCAATAGATATATATATTAAAAAAAAAAAAAAAAACCCAGCAAATATTTCGTCTGATTGGCCAAGAATAAAATTGTATGGCACTAGCTTGACTAGCTAAACACCCGATTATCTCCCTTGTAGACATTTGAAATAGTGTACCTAATTAACTTATTTTACCGTCGTTGTCATCATGCCATGACTTTCCAGTAATTTGACCTTTGATTTAACCTATATTTCCATGCATTCATAGTTATTCTCATCATCACATAAACTGCACCCTTTCTAAAAATCTATCCGCGTCCATACATAAACGCACCCTGTCTAAAAACTATCAGCGTCCATATATAAACGCACCCCGTGTAAAAACTATCAGCCATAGTAAACAGAAAAGACACAGCATACAAGGGTAGCCGCCGCGGTGTAGCCGCTCGCTTGCGGATCAGAAGGTCATGGATTCAGGTCTATTGTTCAAAACTGACCCCTGGTCCCAGGTCGACTCAGTTTTAAATGGGTACTAGGTATATTCCTGGAAAGTAAAGGCCACCGGCGTGATGTTGACTACATCACCCATCGAGTGCTGATTGGGTAAAATATAAGCTTTATGTGCCTATAGCTTGAAGGCATGAAAAATGGTCTTTTGCTTTTATAGCATACACGAGATCGCCAATGATAATAACAGAGCATCATCATAATCATTATTTTCATAATGCTTCCGTCACATAGGACTGGCAGCTCTATTCTGTGTCAGTATCGTGGATGGATGCGTTTGACCTCTCTGATCAACAGTGGTGACTTGAAAAGGGGGTGACTGCCGCCGAGTTGATTGCAAGAGATGCTAAATATAACACAAACTGTATTTAAGCAGTCGTCCCCATTTGGGATGCAATGTTTAGTTTTTTTGAAGCCCCACCCTGGCTTTTGCCTGGGGCCCTACATATAGCGGGGTCTTAAATATTGCGTAACCGCTGAATGAGATTTCGGGACCTATCCACGGGTGATCCTGATCCGCATGGTGGCACTTGGTGTCACTGGGTGTTTGTCGCTTGTGTGATGTCGTGGTGGGGTACAAGTTACCTACCTACCTTTAAAACACAACATGTGACTAGAACGCTCAATGGAGTGAATAGAATAGACGCACACAAACACAACCGGACATTACTCCGTTGATAAAGACTTAAGTCGAAATGCTGTTTGTGTGTGCGTCTTTTCTACTCCCTCTGTTAAGCTTTAGTACCGGGAAAGTAAAGGCGGCCAGCGTGATGCTGGCCACATCATCCATCTTGTGCCGATTGGTTTAAAAAATTATTGGTCTAGTTCTATTTACCCTATACGCCTAAAGGCGTGGAAAAGGGTCCTTTACTTTACTTTACTGTTAAGGTTTCTAGTCTCATTTTTGTATTATATATTGCTTATTTTTATATCTTGTCATTCCTTTGTGGGATGCAATTTTTCGTTATTCTGAAGACCCATTTTGGCTCTTGCCAGGGGCCGTAATATAGCCCGGCCATAATTATGGTCTGTTAGCTGAACGCGGTTTCTAGGACCTCTCCACTGGTGATCATTATCCGCATGGTGGCACTTTGTGTCATCGGATGTTTATCGCTTGTCTGATGTCCTAGTAGTGTAAAAGAAGAAAGAAAAAGAAAAGGTATAATATTTAGCCCTCTCTCGTCAACCTTCGTTTTGGGGTTGAATTTTAAGGTCTTCGTTTTCACAATCAAACTGTTTCGGTCTTCCGAGGAATTTTGTTATAGCTGGCCTTACCATGATCTGACTGGAAGTATTTCATTATCTATATGAAAGCACAATTGTAACATTCCTTCTGTACACATCAGTGTCAGTGGCATAGGTGTTATTAACGCATTTTTAGGCACTTTCATAATTTCAACATAATAAGGTTCCACGTCGACAGCAGACGAGTTAGCATTAGGTGACTTTTCGTTGACTTCAACAATCTCGTTGAACAGTTTAGAAAACAATGGTAAAATATACTAAAGGTAGAAGGAACTATTACGCTCACAAACAGTCAACACACGCTGGGGTTGGTTTGTACATACTGCCAAGGAAAACTTCTACATATACATCTTGACAATTCTCATTTCTTCTTCTTCTTCTTTGTGAATACTACCCCCCGCCCCTTCCCTTCTCCTTGAATTTTTTTTTATATTCTGAGACGGTCGAAGAATTTTCAGTATACATTCCTCACTATATTCATCATCATCATGTAATGTGCGCTGATTAGAGTGGCCCATCGTGTTTCGATATCTGATTTAATCGACAGTCTCGAACCAGACTAGTGTTCTTGTCTTTGCTACTCCTTTTGACCATGCTTTATCATCAGTTATCTCATTGTTTGTGTTTTAGTCTTCTACCGATATCTTTGTGAGCCGACACACACACAAACACACACACACACAAACGCACACACACAAACGCGCGCACACACACACGCGCACACATAATCACGTGGTTTCACAGTAAGCAAGAGCCTCTGTAGCGCACTGCCTGCCAGCCAGCCCAACGTTTTTGGGTTCGAATCCGTACCGAGTTTGATTTATATAAATTGGTTACATTTGCCTACAATTGGTAATAGGTAGTACATAGTAAATATGGCTAATATGAATTGCATTGCATCTACAAAAGCCTCCTCGCCCCCCTCCCTTTTCCAGAAAAAAATGCTCTTCGAGATATCATATACTCATACACAAACATTATGAATAAAGTAACTGATTTTTGAATTGACACCATAGAATACCCGACACGCCCCTCAATATTTTCTCTCCAGTAACAAATGTCTTAAGGTTTAGAATCATGAACTTCGAAGACATAGCGTGCAAATAATCTAATAGCGTGCAAATAATCTAACAGAGCCAAGATATTGATTCCTGAACTTACCAGGATGTAAATGATGATTTTCAGGGACCTAGCCAGATACTTCCAGAGATCAACGTCCTCATTTTCGAACTGTTCAAGTTCCGTCAACAGCCTGTCCATCTCGCCAGAAACGACATTCTCGAACTTCTCTATACCGTCGCCATAGTGACCAATGGCGCTGTGGAACATTCGGCGTTTCTTCCTCATGGCGGCTGGGTAGAGAAAATTTGTCAACGACTTTCAGGCGTATTGGGCATGTAGGTAAAAAGTAAAGTAAAGATCCCTTTTCACGCTTTTCGGCGCATCGGGCATATGGGCAGAGCGTCCCATATTTTTACAGACCAACAGCACTCTGTGGGTAATTGGTCAGCATTACGCCGGCTGTCTTTACTTTCCCAGGACAGCCCATTCTAGTACCCATTTTAGGCTGGGTCGACCTGCGACGTCCCATACCACGACAAAAATCCACGCAGGCTGCAGTGGGTTTCAATCGCGGTATGCTGGCTTACGTAAGTCGGACTCGCAACGCCTTAACTACGGACGCCGCTATTGGGCATATAGGACTAGACCTAAATTCTTATAGATCAACGGAACTTGGTGGGTGATGTGGTCAGCATCACACCGGTCGCCTCTACTTCCATGAATGTACCTAGTACCCACTCAAGGCTGGTTCAACCTCGGGACCAAGGTCAATTGTGAAAAAAGTCAGGCCCTGTCAGGAACCGAACGCACGACTTTCCGATCAGGGGCTAGCGCCTAGCCGCTAGACCATGGCACCTCCCTAAACAATCAGAGTGGTCGTAGAAATATAATATGTATAATAAACAGACAGTGCATTAATCAGGGCTCATAGAAAGAAGCAGAAAAATAGGACACACTAGACAACAGAAAAATTAAAAGCTGTAGCCCATCCTGAGAAAAAAATATCAGACTCACCAAACAGGCATACAGATGGAAAATAAAGGATTTAAGGAGGCGAGGACATCACCTAAGACGAAAGTTGATGGAAGAGGCCAAAGCTGCTAGACCGGATTCCATCCATGGTAGTGAACCGATTTCAAAGTATAGAACGGAACCGAGGGATAGAGTGCCAGCCCTATGTAACATATTATGACACAGCAGGATAATGAACACATTTTTTCCATCTGCTTCTCAAGGGAGATAGACACATATAGCTTGTCATGCATCAATTTACTACAAAGTCAATATCACTATTGTAAACATTGCTTAGAAAACGATCTGTTGACCTTTGGTATAATTATCCTGTTAATTTTTTTTTTAAACATAGCATTTACTCATAAAAATCCTATTCGTGGCTTCAAATTAGAAAAGCATTGACTAGTGGATTATATTTATGAAGTTCAACCCCACAAAGAGAGCACAACGAGCGATAAACACCCGGTGATACAAAGTACCACCATGATTATACTTCCCTTCCTTTTTAGGATTCATATTTTCGTTTTTTGAAGCCCTACTCTGGCTCTTGCCAGAGGCCGCAATATAGCCCGTGCCATAAATATGGCCTAATGGCTGAAAGTGGTTTCTGGGACCTCTCCACGGTGATCCTCATCCACATTTGGGCACATTATGTCATCGGGTGTTTATCGCTTGTGTGATGTCCTGTGGGGTAGAAAGTCAGTCAGTCAAAGTGACACCATTTGGACGAAGATCACCTGGACACAAGTCCCAGAAACCCCTTTTAACTGTCAGGTTTTATTATAGGGCCCCCAACAGTAGCGGGAATGGGGGGTTTAAAATAACAAAAAATTGCGTCTCATATTGTGACGGCAAAAAATAAAGTGGAGTGAATTATACGCAGTCTGTCGAAGGTTGGGGTTCTCATGACGTATGATGAGAACACTAAATATATTTTTAAAAAAAATAATAAATACATTATAAAACACATGATCTCTAAAGTATAAGCGGTCGTCTCTCAAAAAGAGATAATTCACATTCTTTGTTTACCTAATGATGATCAGATTGTGTCCGGTACCATCAGCATCGGAACTCCGCGCTGGCTGCTGAAGATGATGAAACGGAGCATGCATGCAAATGACCCGAGTGCTGTGATGTCAATTCTTGACACAACTCAACTTAATGATAAGGTGTAATTTGTAAATTTCATAGTATGTGAATGTAAAAAAAAAAAATTTTAAAAAAATAAAAATAAAAAATAAAAAAAGAATATCATATATTCACTATAAATATCACCAACTTTTTCAGATAACTGCAGAACACGAAACAGCACCCTGGCGACAGACATGACTGCCAAAGCAGCACGATAGGAAATATAAGAAAACTGAATATTTAGCATTGAATCTAAAGTAAAACTTACTATCATATGAAGTGAACACCCAATCCTTGCCGTTGTACGAGCCTATCTTTGTAGGCGTGCTGCCAGCTCTATCAGCAACGAGAAGCTTGTAATCCTCAGAGGCCAGGAGTCTCCGTGTGATGTCGGTTGTGTTCAGAAACAACATTCGTTGCCCCATATGGCTGATGTATGTCATGGGACCGTACTTTTTAGCCCATTCTGCAGCCAGCTCGGTGCATGGAAGCAGTCTTGGTTGCTTTGAATAATTGCTAGAGTCGTCGCCCATCCTCTAGGACCAGGTGGTAGTTTCTTAGAGAACTTAGGGACCCATAGGTAAATAGCGTAGGCAGATAATACCAAGAGTGCTGATACAATGGCTAGCGTTCGATGTTCTGTATTGCAAGATTAGATAATCCATCCTTAATCAGTATCAGTAATATGTTCCGCTTCTGTAGGAAAAAAACAAAACTCCTTGGCTTAGACTGCACTCACAACATATGCTAAGATGGTGATTATAATGATTACAATGCTTTCCATCTTTATAAAGAAAAGGGATATGTAAGGTATTACCGTTAATATAGTGTTTAGTTCGTTTGTTTTCAGAGTGGCTGGTGTGAGTTCAGTTCCCCAGACGTTGCAAGATGTATGCATTAACACGACTCTGAGCGAGACTTAAGCTATGTAAAACTTGGTATCGAGCCACACCCAGACGTTTCGGGAAATTGGTTAAGAATAAAATGCAACGATGTAGGGAACTGAGCTCCCGAACTCACCTACCAGGAGTGAAATAAACCAGGTTTATTACGAAAAAATTGCTAGTCTATATTTTTTTAAAATCAATCTGCATTTGGAATGTAATGTGGATTATTTTAAATTGGCCACTTTTACTTCCACTTTCATTCAGTAAAGTCCTTGGGTCCATTTCGATTAGAGAGGGAAAAAAAATGGCTGTTTTTCGTAACAGGAACACATAATTTTTTTCAGTTTACTACCCATTTTAGTTTGACATGATAGTACACTTAAACGCATTTGCTTCAATAAATAGCTGATTTGGAACCTATGATGTCTACGTCTCACAATTATGTTTCTTTAACTCTTTCCTTAAATCTTTCTTTCCGGTGTATTGAATGTATTTCATCCCAATTATTTGTTACTTTAATTAATAAATATTGGTTTATCTGAGCTCACGTAATAGCCCTACAGGATAAAAGATATTGCACTTGAAGTGGATGTAATTTTAAAAATAGCTGGGATTGATAATTAATGAACTTTCTTTATACCAACTTTCCTGCGTCTATTACTTTTTCTCCATGAAATACGCAGACAACAAATCAAAATGTTTTTTTAAAAAACTTGACCAACTACCTAGCAGATGAGTACAGTTATCTATGGTAACGAACGATGGCCTTTTAGGGGTTTTATTCAGTCACATAAAGATCAAGGGCAAAAAGAAAACTGAATTCCTACAATCTGAAATTTGGATGTCAGTCTAGATACACGTCCAGAGCTGCTGATTTCCCACGGAGCAGTGAATGCTGGGTCACTTCATTAGGCACGTCAGAATTTAATTAGGTTAATATTAGTGCATTATTCTGTCTTTAAAAAAAAAAAAGTTATCATGTCATTTCATGCAAGCAAACAGCAAGCAAACACAAATTTAGCTGCAGTCGGTACAATTACCAACAGTCAACTGCAGTTATTTCCCCTTGTGTCATTTGTTCATTTATTATTATAATTGGTAGCGGCTGACAATAGAGTCTAGAACAGTATGTTATCATAAAGATTTCAGAGTTATATTTTAGACGCTGAGAAGAGACAAACTGTTCTTGACATACATTTCGCTCAAGACTACCAATTAACGCTTTGCTGAAGTCAGATGTGTAGTACCGAAAGACACAGGTATTCCGGCCTAGATGTAAACTACAAATAAAACGTACTCCCCCCCCCTCCCCCGCCCTTTTTATATGGGCAAACGTAGAAAAAAGAGGACGAGGAGAAGTCTTTGGAGAAAACATTATTAACATAGGCTCGACCTAACCAACAATTGAAGTGCTGAAATAAGACTTTAGTTCACCATACGTCATTTCAAAGAGATTCTAGGTAACTATGACTATGAAGCTTAACCCAATGAGGGAAGCAGAAAAACGTGCAGAAAACAACACAAATAACTTTCAGTCGGCTGCCTTTGTCAAAAATGAAGTGAACTACAGAAAGGTAACAAATAGGAGAGTATTCAGATCTCTAAGGGGTGACGTGAGCAACGTTTTAAAGAATGTGATGTGGAATGAATGAAATAAAAAAAAATTAACAATGGCTAAAAAAAAACTATAGTTGCAAAAATTAGAAAGTAATATTGTTAGTGTATAATATAATAGTAGGAATAAAAGTAATATAGGAAAAAAAAAAAAAAAATTGTATCCAATATCCAAATTCGTCCTTCTCAGGACGAAATTTTTTTTTTCATTTGAAGCCCTACTCTGGCTTTTGCCAGGGGCCGCAATATAGGCAGGCCATACATATGGCCAAATGTCTGAACGCGGTTTCTGGGACCTCTCCACGGCGATCCTCAATCCGCATGTGGCACTTTGTTCGTCATCGGGTGTTTATCGCTGTGTGATTGTCAGAACCTGGGTGGGGGTACAGAAAGTCAGTCAGTCAGTCAGGAAAAAAAAGTTATAATTAAAATTTAAAATGTAATAATAGTAAAACTGTTTAGATAAAGGTATGGTGAATATTGATACCGCCTGGACTAAAAACACCTAGGCTGAGGATGTAGCGATTTTTCAAACCGAGGCGCGGGGTATGATTGCCAGAGCAAGATGTTATTGCTGTGCCTTACTGTCAATATCGGAGAGGTGTTCCCTGAAACCATCAGCTAGCTTCCTGCCAGTTTCCCCGGTGTATATCTTGTTGCATTTTTTTGCAGATCGTGGCATATATTACGTTGCGGGATTCACAAGTAAAATGTTCCCTAATTGGGAAAGAACCATTATGGAAACTTACCGAAGAGGTATGGACACCAATTTCAAAGATATGATGTGATGTGCCTGACTTGCGCATTAAGCGTTTTGTTGTTGTTGCTGTTGCTCGCCGAAAGAAACGAGATCTCTGCAATATATATTGATTAGAGACTAGAGCTGGTTACTCTATCTTTTACTGTATATTTTATTAGTGTATCTATTACCCATATCGATAGAGGACACATAGATTAAATATGAGGTGCTTAGCACTGATAGTGAACACAATAATTTCGTTGACGTAAGACACGACTGACGTTGCCTGGAGATATATGATATATGTTTAATGACTGTAGACTTTGAAATCAGATATTTGCGCACCGTAATTAAATGTGTGTATTGTCATGCTATAAGCTGGAGGCCATAGTCAATTCAGCTCATGAGATTTCGCCCTGTAACCGTTAGTTTAGAATATCACTGCCATATACCAGAGATTTAGTACCTGATCTTAGCTTTAATGTCATTAACTATTGAAGAAAGAATAATTTTGGTTAAACATTTTTTCTTTAAAAAAAAGATGCGAAAATTATTGGGAGCTACAGAGATCAGCAAGACGTTAAAAATGAGAATCGTCAAATATTGTATATATTTTACCCTGGTGTAAGGTGCAGAAACTTGGACAAAGAAGAAAAAAATCGAATTAAGTCTCTGGAAACGTGAAGAATGGGTGGTATTTCATACAAACACAAAATCAAATACAAAACTTCTGGAAAGACTACAAATGAACAGAAAATAACTGAAATGTGTGTGTGTGTGTGTGTGTGTGTGAGAGTGAGAGAGAGAGAGAGAGAGAGAGAGAGAGAGAGAGAGAGAGAGAGAGAGAGAGAGAGAGAGAATTGAAATAATATGGCTTCATTAAAATATATGCTTTTAAAAAACGAGTTGACAGATTGAGGGCAAGAGAATGAAGGAACAAACTTTATTTTCAAAGGATTACAAATTGGGCACGCAGGCCCGTCTGACATTCAGCCCTTCTAAGCACTCATTTTACAGAGTACCAATGTCTATTATCAATAATGCATGAGATCAAGAGGTAGACAAGGATACAATGAGTGGACAACATCAAGATATGGACGAACAGCCTACTGAGAGAGCACACAACGAAGACAAGAGATGCAGCATAATGAAAATCCGTTGTAGCAAACTTTCATTGTGGAGACGACATCTGACTTATTGAATCTATGGTACACAACAAGAAGGTCCGCCAAAATTAGTGAGGTGAGTTTATGGCCTAAAACTCCTAGACAAATATTTAACTAAAGGAACATGATATAACAGCTTCAACCCAAGGTACAAGAAGGAAGGGCGAATGAGTAAGTAAGTAAGGAGACGTTTAGTTGGTCAACACAGAACAGTCATCTTCAGTCCTACCTCGCCTGTGGAGCTTCTTCCTACTAATAGCTAACAAAAGAGCAACCCACATAAAGTCACATTGTAAATTCATGGGACTTCAGCATGACCCTGCCAGACAACAGTCTAAGGTCATGTGTCAGTACTGAACTCTGATTTTGTAGCTGGCACAAATGTTGGCACAAATGATGTGCATTAGGGCGCCCCCTTTCGGAATGCTAATTTTTTTCACCAGAGTTATTTAGAATCTACAACTTAATTACATACTGTTTACTGCAGCAAACCCTCTAATGTGTACTACTAGAAATGCTGACACATTTAAATGAATTTGCTTCTCGAGTCGTGTGTCATCCTTTTGAGTTATCCGCAAAGTATTATATGTTTGATTGTGTGAACTGCGCATGTCACAGTTTCTTTAAAAATACAGTAAACATTCATTATTGAAAAGATTTTTTTTTTTTCAGAACATTGGCTCATTATACTTGACACATATTTCGTTCTATACATGCATTTTCACACGAAGGTGATGTAGCCAATATGACGTCGACCACCTTTACTTCCCAATATATTATCTGGCATAGACTGACTTGTTTACAAAAGATAAAACCTCTGGTTCATAGATCTTATAGATGACTGTGAGTTCTAACCAGTAAGTTCGATACACTACCCTGTAACTAGTAAGTTTGATACATTACGCTGTAACTAGTATGTTCGACACATTACCAAGTAACTAGTAAGTTCGATACACCACACTGTAACTAGTAAGTTCGATATATTACCCTGCAACTAGTAAGTTCGAAATATTACCCTGTAACTAGTAAGTTCAATACACTACCCTATAACTAGTAAGTTTGATACATTACCCTGTAACTAGTATTTTCGATATATTACCCTGCAACTAGTAAGTTTGAAATATTAC